AACGTTAACTTAACTTACCTTTACTTACTATACTACTATATATATATATATATATATATATATATATATATATATATGTGTGTGTGTGTGTGTGTGTGTGTGTGTGTGTGTGTGTGTGTGTGAATGTTTTATTCAGTTTACAAATGCACTACCTATGATAACATATTCTGGGACACAGATGTTTTTGTTGATAAAATAAAAAACAAGGTTGCCTATTTGTTATACATGCATGAGTGCCGGATTAACCATGAGGCAGCTGCCTCAGGGTCCCCACAATTATTTTATTAACATTATTTAGGAATATCGCGATATTCGATTTATATATTTATTTCTTATATTTGAAAGTTTGTTTTTGATACACCAGTTTTTTTTATTATGTTTCAAAGGGCCTCCATAAGTGTATTTGCCTCAGGGCCTCCACATACCTTAATCCGGCCCTGCATGCATGGAAATTTCATAATTGTTTTTCAAAGAATATTTTTCAGAATCTTTATTAGTTTATTATCAGTCTGATGTGAGATGACAATATTTTAAATATGTTAATCGCTAAAAGAAAAACATGGGCTCAAAACTAGTATATATATCCTAACTATCAAAGTTGGGCAACTTTCTTTGATGTAAAAGATATTTTGGTTCGGACGTTAATGTGTCGGGCTGCGGATCGAAGGATCTGTCTGGAATGTGACGCTGATGAACATGTTCCTCAATTTATGCCGTGGACCGTTCATAAAAGTGGCAACAGTTATTTCTGCTATTCAGTTGAAAGAGCCAGATAAAGCCCTTGTGTCAGCGATCGCTACTAGCTTACTGCCTTCCATCTGGTCGGCAGATTCTTGGGGGAAAACGGTCTCTCTGACTAAAGCCACGTGCGCACAAGTTACCGTTCAGGTTAAAAATTCCAATTCCATCGTGTAAAATAATTGTTCCAAAACATGAGAAGCAATCTTTGTCGTAGTTTTAGGGGTTTATAGGCTGCGCACCCTTCGATGCTACAAAGCAAGTAAAAGTGTCCGAACATTCGAGAAATCCACTAGTCAATTTAAAAATGAAAATTAAAAACACTTAGTGTTTACCGTTTAAACTGAAGTTACAAGAAAAATATATTTAATGTTTGCACTTGTATAGAGTATGTTATGATGCTCTTAAGAAGGTTATATTTAATCGCTTTTACACCCGCTTATTTTTATCACTATTAAAATTCGGGTTGTGGTTTGTTTGTTTGTTTTGGATTTCGCGCAAAGCTACACAAGTCCTAATTTAGCAGTATCAACATTAATAATCCACAACCCGAAGCCCCGGCATGGCCAAGTGGTTAGGGCCCTAAACTCGCAATCTGCGGGTTCGAATCCCCGTCACATCAAACATACTCGCCCTTTCAGCCGTGGGACGTTATAATGGGACGGTTAATCCACTATTCCTTGGTAAAAGTGTAGTCCAAGAGTTGGCGGTGAGTGATGACTAGCTGCCTTCCATATGAATGTTGTGCATTTTCACTACTGAAACTCTGGTAAGACTGAATGATGGGTAACTAGCACTGTTGAACTCGTGTGTGATTTGAAATTTGGGTATTATCATTGTTAAAACTCGTGAGAGATATTAATGTTAATACTTTTCGTTGTTAAAACCTACGTGAGACACTTTTTTTTTCGTTTGTACTGTTGAAACTCGAGTGAAACATGAGTGATGATTTTACCATTGAATCTCGTGTTAGACGAATGTTTGCGTATTTTCGCTGCTGAAACTCCGGTGAGATATTAATACTGTACACATTTTGACTGTTAAACCACCTTTGAATAAATAATATTGTGCGTTTTCAAAGTTGTACAATTTCATTTTTAAACATGTGTAAGATACAAATGTTGTGTACTGGATTTGTTAGAACTCATGTGAAATGTAAATGATGCACATGTTCACAGTTGAAACTCACGTGAGACAAAAGTGTTATTCATTTTCATTATCAATATCATGTGAATTGAAAGTTGTTCACTTGCACTCTTGAATCCTCTTTATTTTGTTGTTCAACTACTTGAAATATTGGTGTAAAGACAAAAGAAATAAGGTAAATGAAATTCCTCTACTTACTTACATTAGGGTGTGTTTTTAGTAACTTTGATATATAAAAATTGGAATTGTGTGTTTTGTTTTGAACTGCGCGCAAAGCTACACGAGGGCTATCTGCGCTAGCCGTCCCTAATTTAGCAGTGTAAGACTAGAGGGAAGGCTGCTAGTCATCACCACTCACCGCCAACTCTTTTACCAACGAACAGTGGGATTGACCGTCACATTATAACGCCCACGCGGCTGAAAGGGCGAGCGTGTTTGGTGGGACGGGGATTCGAACCCGCAGATTGCGAGTCGAGCGCCCTAATCACCTGGCCATGCCGGGCCCGAAAATTGGAATTAAGAGATTTGGAACAAAAAATAATTTTACATTTTCTTTTGTTTCCTTTCTCTCGGGAATGTTATGATAACCGTACGCTACTCACCCCTGGAAATGAAAGCGTAATAATAATAATTTCTTATATATACTTTTCTATACTCTCAGCTGTCGAAAGAGGAACAGCGGGAATAACTTTAGCATTGATAGAAAAAAAAACAACAGATATATATACTTCTTATCTGAATGTCTTGTGGAATTAACAGTGAAAAAATACATAATATAACCGACAACTAAGAAGGTATAATGAAATGAAATCGCCCTACCTATCCACGTTCTCAGATCCCCTGAGGAACTTCATGATAAACAACAACTGAAGGAAGCAGACGAACACGCAGCACATGTTAAGAGAAATTGTCAAGGTACTCAAGGCTACGGACACTTGGTGGACCAAAACATATTCACCTGTTCTGACCACTACGTTAAAGGGCCGTGGAGAGAGTTTATCCAGAAACAAGACGGCCAATAAAGCCATGAGCAAGGCCAGCAGACATACCAACGCTAGCGCGGCCATTGTTTGATAAGCACTTTTCTCCTGAGGGGCTACTGTGGACTTGGAGGAGGACTTTGGTGAAAAAAAGAGATGAGAACACGGATAGGTTCTGCCTGGAGACAGGTTTAACAGTGGTTTCCCTGTTCCGCTGTCGCTATTAATGAAATCAGTAGGTGATAACCTGGTCAGACTGGGTTTCGATACACTTAGGGCATTGAGATTGAGATTTGTTCGAGGCGAAACTCCGTTCATCTTGTAACCCGAAGGTGTTGGAGTAATAGACGCGTCTACGCTCAGAGAAGTAGACATAGCTGCTGTAAGAGGCTTGTTTAAATGAGACTGGTCACTCTGTTACTGCCGGAACAGGAGAATAATTGCAACATTACACATTATATGAAGTACAAAATCTTACAATTCTGTTATTTGATGCTTTTTTCTTCTTCTAAGCAATCAATATTGAAATCATTCGGAAACGTTTCAGAATAAAATAATCTTGCTTACCAAAAAATTCGAAAGCAGACAGTAGAAGTTTTTTCCAATGAGCATTAGTTTCTCGCATGTACTGGCTTACCTCATGATGAATAATTACCACAACAACATAAACACCGATCTTTACCAGTTATCAGCCGTCGCTAATACATAAATCCATCCTGGCTTCAATCTGGTATGAATGATAAAATATATTATAATTTATTATAATTCAATAACTGGCGAGTAAAGAAACCTCAAACTTGTATCGTTCTAGGATTTAGAACATTCGCTCATCGAAACGCAAAATCTTTTCTTCATTCTTTCTTGGAAGACTGTGGATGTGTAACATGTGAGAATTCCAAGGCTGTTTAAGAAGCGTCTGTTAACAATTTTGTGCACTCAGTTTTAAGTAGTGTACTCGTACTTGAAAGCTCGATGAGAGATTACGACGAATGTGTGAAAGTTTTCATAACTCTGGCGATGTCAAGAGTGGCTTGTTATTCGATTCGTGCTGAAGAAACAAACTTAACGGAACGCTATCAAATAAGAAGAAGAAATATTCACGGTGACAAACTTCCCTCATCCATTTTTCAAAGCTATATAAAATTTCCTCTGTAAAATACGTGGGAATATATCACTCCGCCCCGGAAACTGATGTCAGTAGAATAACCACGTGACTTCGGATAACATAACCTAGAAAGACGACAAAAACAATCGCTGAGTACGGGTTGGGATTAGTCATTACAAGACTTTCCAGATGTGATATGTACAGTAAAAACTTAAGAATAAGCCTGTGCTAGAAGGAACTACTATACTATATACAATTCTTTTATTTCTAAGCCATCATAACTTACAGACTGATCAATATCAACAATCAGATAGAAATATCATTTTTTCTCTTAGCTAACGAACGTATAATGTAAAGTTGGATAAAATATCCGAATGTAAAAGTTGCTTACTGAGTATCAGTTATAATGAACAACCTTGTGTGCTTTTATTTATAACATTCATGAGTGTCCTCTTTCTATTCGGTGATATTTTGAAATATTGTATTAAGTATTACATGGCCAAAAACAAGAGTTTCCATTGTATTAATGACTCGGAATAGCACTGCTGTAAAAATAATGTATACCACAAACTTTCCCAACGTGTACAGCTTTTAGGAACAAGAAGCACTGTTTTTTTTTGTTGTTGTTGAATTTCGCGCAATGTTACTAGAGGGCTATCTGCGATAGCAATTTCGAATTTTAAAATGACACTAGAGAGAAGGTATCTAGTAAACACCACACAACGCCAACTCTTGGGCTGCTCTAATCGAATAGTAGGATCGACTGTGACATTATAACACCCAACATGGCTGAACCCTCGACCCACAAATTGCGAGTCGAGCGCCCTAACCACCAGGCCATGACAAGCCAACGCGAAGCACCTCTGCGCTGAATTTATGTAATTGCCAACAGACATTTATCAATTTTTTATTCTAAATTTGGTGTTTGAAGAAAACTGTGTTTAAATGCATTTTAAAACTTTGATAGTTTTCTTTCGTACAATTCAGATTTCATCATTAACATATCACTGAATTTTTTTACTTAAGATTTGTGTACAAATTTGACCACTTTAATGTCTTTTTCGATGCTTTCTTGAATACCTCATCAATGCAAGCTTATGATTGATATTACATGACATTGTAGGTAATAATGAACTGGACATTTGTTTGCTTTATTCGTATTTAGATAAAACGCCAGTTGAGAATCTCGGAACACCGTAATAACAACAAGAGACAATAAAATTCTTACAATATCCATATGTATGTAAGTGGGACATGTAAAATTAAAGTAGATTTTGTGTCACGTTACTCTATTTCTTTACGTTGTATTTATAGTTATGGCAAACCTACTAGAGCTATCTGCTACTGTACCTAATTTTGATATAGTATTTTTTGTCCAATTTTATGCAATGATATTGGAGGGCTATCGACATTGGCCGTTTCTAATTTCGAAAATAGACTATAGGGAAGACAGTTAGTCAACACCACTTAGCCCTAACTGTTAGGCTACCCTTTACCAATGAATAGTGGGATTGACCATCACATTATAATGCTTCATGGCTGAAAGGGTGGATTCCGGGTAAAGTGCCTTAACCACCAAGCCATGCCAGGCTTTTACACTAGGGAAGGCAGCCTGGTAGTAACATCCTATCAACTACGCTAATGGAATTACTGTCACTCTTTAACAACTTAAAGTGAAGGGAATATCCCGTGCGTTTGATCCCGGCTCTCCAGCTCCGAAATCCAGAGTTTTGCCACAGGAACAACCCGTGCCCCATGTTGTTTCAGCTGAATTTCATAAAAATTAAATTTAGTCACACAGTAAAAAAGATGTGGGACTTTTAATATCGGTTACACGAAAACTTATTAATATATATATACACTTCTTCAAAATGAAAATGATTCACTTCTACATATGGCATTTGCTTTGATTGAGTGACTGATACGAAATATGTCATCTTGAGAAAAACATGCTGAAGAGTATATGTAGAACTTTGCATCAGTCTACTTCACGAACGGCTAAGAATTACAGTTGAAACAACTGTTAATTTCAACCTTCCATAACTAGTTATGAATAAATCTTTAGTAAGGTGTATTCAGGTAATTTTTCTCAATTTTCGCGTAGGTAGTTAATGACATCGTTGTAAATTGGATCTCAAAAGGTTGTAAACATTTACAAATCCTTTAGCTTATGTTAAGGTTACGCACGGCAAAGACTATCTCATGTCGAGTATTGCAATTTGGAACTCTGTTTGTACCCATTCCCTTTGGAAGATAAGCTAATCTCAAGGAGTGTCAAAGATACCTGTACAAGTTGGTACAATTTGGGATTTTCTCCCTTGAAAATGTCACTTGGAATAATCATTGACGAAGGTAACTATGAATCGTGGGATATCACACTGAACCTTTTGTCTGAACTTGAAAGTACAGGATAACATTATTTTTAGTGTCCTTGTTCTGTGGGAACGGGTTTAGGAAGTTTCCCCTAGCACCAACAGCCAGTTGAAGTCACAATGAGAAAAAGAATCCAGCCTGAGGGTAATAAACATAAACATGTTACTCTGAATAAAGATTTATTGCTCACTTATTTTTTTCTTTTTCTGTCAGTGAAATTTATTATTTATATAACATTTAATGAACCCGTGTTTTTATGGAAATATTTGGCTATCTATCTATCTATCAGTGTACCTAAATACAACAGACTAGATGAAAAGTAACATCTCGGTGCCATGACTAAAGGAGTTGTTATTGCAGAGTTTATTTGTAACATGGTTCTTTTTTATCATTTGATTCTCTGGTACTGTGTCATTTTAAATACCACATAGAACTGAGGAGAGTAGGATGTCACAGTTGAAGTTAAGACTTGTTCCAAGAATGTGGCAAGGACTAAATGATACACTCTCTTAGACCAAGAGCTTTCATTGGTAATTGTGGGAGAGATGTTTGTGTTCTGACTTTGTCCTCAAGACCATGAGGTTGATGAACACATAACTATGTAATTTGGGTGCCTGTGATGCAACCTCTAATGACTACTTTCTGTGGTCTAGGGCACAGGGTAGCAGAGAAAGGTCGAGCAGCATGAATATCTTATGACTTATTGGGGTGGTTATTATGCAAGATGTTGGGTTTAGTCGCCCATGATCGAGGAGAGTATGAAGATATTTGCGCTAGATTATATTTGATGCACTTCAGCAGGATTACGAATTAGTGAGGAGGTTTCCAGACCAGCAGAACATATTAAATACACTCCAAAACTGCATCTAGTGGCTGAGAACACTGTAATATTTCTTACATCATTACAGTGACAATGATGGTGTGTGCTACCAATCTCTTATGAACTTAGCCCAATGATTTGTATTCATCTCCACTCTTCTAGGAGAAAGTGATGACCTCCTCCAAATGCTCTCAGCCACACAGTGGTAGAGAAGCTGGTAGTAGGTTCCTTTCAGTACCACCATATAATTACGGTGGTGATGTGAAACCATTAAACCTACCTTAAGGGGATGACAAAAGAAGGTTTGAATTATTTCCTCAAGGATTTGAAGCAAGTTTTGCTTGGAGTAGATGGACTTGAGGACAGGTGGTGCAATATCTATATAATTCCGTGCCAGATACTTTAAAGCATCTAGAAAAGGAGTAACTCGATGGCTGGGAGTTTTCAGGTTCAAAGTTCAAAGACCTCAAAGCTTACGTACGCATATAGTTATAAAACTAAGAATAGACATTGTGTTTTTCTGACTTAAAGTAATCTATTGTCATTTATATATATATATAACTTAGCCTCACTTTGTATTATCTGGAAGTTTACTTTGGAAACAGTTGAAAAGACTGGTGTTTTATTCCCACATTCTGAAGCTGAGTTTGAGGGTAATGAACGTTTTACTTAAATTTAGCACATCAGTTCTCTTAATCTTTTGGTGAGCTTTTTTGTTGTCGTTGTTCTTTGTTTGCTTATTTCAGAATTTCATGAAATGCGTCACAAATATGAAACGAAAGGCACTTGACCGTAAAACCGAGTTAACGATAAACTATATTGGTATATTTGTTACTGAGCGCAAAGTTACACAATGGGCTATTTGTGCTATGCCAACCATGGGTATCTAAAGCTGGTTTTATAATGTCTTCAGACTTACCGCTAAGCCAATGGGGGTAATAGCTCTTCGCCATGACATATGAAAGAAATAATAAAACACTTTTAAATCTTTTTTTATAGTGGTCATTAACACTGAAATAGCATAACGCCAAACAAATAACAAACTACTACCTCATAGTTGTTTGTAATAAAACAAGGAGAGAATAGGACTATAAATATACTTTTTTTAATGAAAACATTAAATTAATATTTAGAACTATTATCGTTATGCATGTAATCAAATAGCGTCTTTTTTATAATAAAATATTAAAAAGTTGGCAATACTTTTGAAAAATATATTAAACGATCATATTTTAGATAGTAAATCTGGTTGGTCAAATTGATCGGACAAATGAGGACATTATATAGAAGTTGTAAATATGGTATAAAAGAACACTACGTCGTTACGTTGAAATATGTAACACAATAAGATTGTTACAAACTACATTTCAGGTGCTTTGAGGTCGACGTCCGACCGGAATGCGGCAGAAGGCAAGAGAAAGTTTCCCGGATTTTGTCTCCCCTGATGCGGCCTTGCCCTCGTGGAGAGGTTGACGCCGCCCTCAAAGGAGCATGCGCACTCATTACGAAGAATGGTTTAATAAAATTTTAAACAATATCTCATACATTTCAATTAATCAGTTGGATTAAATAGAAGTAATGTCTTTAACGCTCGGGAAATAAAACAATTTAAAGTGCATAATACAGTCACAAAACATAAGATTAAAACACAAGAAGAAAAGTGTAATATATTGTTTTGAAATGAATAGCTGTATCTGAATGACTTAAACATTTTATCTTGCTCGTGCTCAGAATAAATTAAGATACAGGTCAGTTGACTAGAGGTATGGCATACAAAAAAGAAAACTGTCTGAAGTAAATATTTCTAAGAGATTAGTTAACTTGATTTTACTAGTTAATTTTAGGGTGGAAATATTTGTAACAATTATTCCGAATATATATGTATAGTGAAGGTTAAATA